TATACCATACATATGTGTACACATCTTTACATCAGCTATATTCTCCTGTGTTGTCGAAGCTATCTGTGATCAAAATAATCGCCTAGTGATATTTAAAGTTTTTAAATTTTTAACCGACCTCAAAAAAGGAGGTGGTCTTCAATTCGACTGTACTTGTAATTCTTATGTGGTCGTGATTCGCCAGTACTTTTTGTGCTATCTTTAATAGTTCAAATATAATTAATTTGATAACATTGATGATATTCTCATTTTGTTGAAGTCGTTTTTCCGTTTTGTTATTATTTTTTTTTTCTCACAACTCTAGATATCTATCAAAAACATTTAGTTTGTGAAACGTAAGGTACGGGCAGTTAAATGAGGTTTTTATTTTTAAATACTAAAAAATCCAAATCATTTTTCTAATGTGTTTTAAGTTATAAGCACAATCGTCCATTTTGTAATTTGCTTAGAAAGGTTCAAATAGCACCAACAGTAGTGCTCACGTCATTTCCGATCCACTAACGGTGCTTAAGCACCGGTCATCGTTCTCGTCGAACCCGCCGCTTGCGACGAAGGGCTCGACGAGTAAATTAACCCTCAGACACAGCCCACTGAGTTTCTCGCCGGATCTTCTCAGTGGGTCGCGTTTCCGATCCGGTGGTAGATTCTGCGAAGCACGGCTCTTGCTGGGGTTCGTGTTAGCAACGTCATCAGGTTTGAGCCCCTTGAGCTCACCTACTTGTTAAGGCGACGCTGATATAGCCTCTCAAGGCTATCAGCTTAGGTAGGAAAAAAAAGCAACAACAGAAGTTTTGATTATTTATATTGTCCAAAAAAACCGCTGCCTGATTGTTTAAATAAACGAATTAACTTCGAATCCGAAGGTAACACAACGTTTTTATTAGAACTAATTATATTATAATAAATCTAAATCATAAATTTACGTTTTAATAAAAAATATTCCCTAAACAGTATAAAACAAAGTCACCTTCTTTCTCTGTCTGTTGCTACGCGTACTTCTTCTAAGCTCTAAGCATTTTCAACAAAATGGCTGAACTGTGACAATTTTTTTATCTTAAATGGGCGGACGAGCTCACGGTCCACCTGGTGTTAAATGGTGGCTGGAGTCCACAGACATTAACAACGTGAATTTCTACCTAGAGACTTGAGTTCTTAACGCATTACTGCTTCACGGCAGTAACAGGCATGATGGTACCTACCTATTAGTGTTATGTCAAAAAACATGTTTTAATAAGCTTACATGACTAGCACAAGCCAAATCTTAAAAGGTAGCGTCCGTATGGCCGAATCTACAGTAGGAAAGCTAATTATATGTACAAATAAATATTCAAATAAATTTCTTTAACCTTCGCGGTCAAAATGAAATATAAATTATTTGTTAAAATGCGTCAATATTTGAAATCGTGAGTCAACCCGTCAATACACCGAGACGAGGGTACCTAATTTAATAAACAATTAGCAAGGGGGGTTAATAAGTGCTTCGCTATTGATGTGGGACGATCGAAATTTGATAAAGTTGGCCCTGTGTTCGATTCTGAAGTGATTGAATTAAAGTTTGAAGACGTAATGTCAGAATACGCTTGACGATCAGAATCATTAGGACGGTTTTTTGAATTAGCTTTACAAAAACACTAACGCTTAAGCTAGCTAAGGTAAATTTATTTCTTTCACCAACCATTATTGGTACAACCGATTACCGGTAGGTTTTGACTTGAACAGGTTTCTTGCTTGTTGCATCAACGAAGAACCAGCTATCATGATTGGTGTTTGTTGCTGAGCCGATATGCATCACTGCTCAGCTCGATAAACAATGTCGAAGACAGTCACAAAAGGAATCACATCCTCATGAAAGTGGCTCCTTCAGAGGATAGTGGTATTGGCAAGCAGGGTTTTAATATGCCTTACCACTATTAATGAATGCCACCTATTTATGTTGTACTACTATTTATGTAAACTATTCATATACTGTACTATTTATGTAAACTATTCATTCATGAGGAGTTTCATATGCCCCACCAATGTAATCAGCCAAGTTAATTAACTTTTAATAGTTAATAATAGTTTGTAATAAGTTAATAAAATTTGGGCTTCATTTTCATTACTCTACTCTTTTCCTCCTACTGTACCACTTCTTCATGGAAACACGTCATTTATAAACACGCGATAACTACATATCTATTTTTTTTTAAACTGTTGCCTAATTGCGGCATTCGAATACCTGACGGCTTATTCGTATTTCTATAGAAAATTTCGTACTTATTTGGGTGATTTGAACACTATCATTGTCAATGTGAGTACACTGTGCATCACTATGAGCAACTGTCATTGCAAGCCTGTAATTAATAGCTACCAAATAATATTTTATGTTTGCTAAATAGTGATATTCTTCTCGGGTTTGACGGGTTCAATAAATAAACTTAGCCCAAACTGTTGGTTACTTGTCAAAAGGAAATGGTTAACGTACAAAATATATTTTTTTCCTTTATCATTGAATTCATTCAAATGGGTAAATCGTGATTCAAGTCAACTCCAAAAGATTGTAATCTTTAATGAACAATTAAGGAATATAGACATTAATGACTAGCACTGAACGATTGATTTTCTTTGTTCCGCTGACTCTTTAATACGACCTTGCGTCTCTGAGTTTTGGAATGAGTCGTTGCATTTTCTGTCCGAACGGGTCCTCGTCAGTGGACTGTAAGCTAATATGGTTCAATGGCCCGTCACATCTTGTTTTTCTTATAAATGAACCATTCTGTCACACCTTTATGAGCATTGATAGCGAGGGTGCGGTGTTTCGTTGCCTCATTGTGTTTTTGTTTTTTTTATGGAAATGGAATAATGAAAAGGGATTTATTTCGGCTTTCGTCCGAGCAAGATGAAATCAAAGCATCATGAATAAATTACTGTATATTTATTCCATATTAACTGTGTATGGTACCTGAAGATGGGTACAGATTTTGAAACTCCTGTGAAATCAGAAAACGTATGATGCAAATTAAAACATCCATTCCACATTCGACGATGTCAATGACGGTCATGTTTGTCTTTTAGCCGTGTAATAACATTGTTATTGGAATGAGTGACAGGTGCGTTTGATGGTTTGATGACTTAATAAATGAATATTCAAAATACCTATTTTTATCTGCATAGATCCAGCGATATTTTTATCTACGAAATGGGTATACGATCATTTGCTACTCTGGACCAAAAATATTAGATTTCAGTTGAATTGAATTTTTAATACTGAAATCTTGTATTTAGGTCAGACATTGCCCATAACGGATAATTTCTTATAATACTTTTACACTGTGCTAACTGACAATATACCGTATGTATTTGTTTTCATTCAATTCATTTAAAAATACATTGTGTTCATTCGTATACATTATGTTAGGACGCGCATATTTAGAAACAGTTTAGCCTATATTATTATTATTAATATTATCTATACTTCAATATTAATATTATAAAGAGGAAAGATTTGTTTGTTTGTTTGTTTCGAATAGGCTCCGAAACTACTGGACCGATTTGAAAAATTCTTTTTCCATTAGAAGCCGACATTGTCCCTGATGAACATAGGCTACTTTTTTTTTTTTTTTTTTGATTTCATGTGTGTTTTAATGTTTCCGAAGCGAAGCGAGGGCGGGTCGCTAGTTAATATTATAAAGAGGAAAGATTTGTTTGTTTGTTTGTTTGTATTGAATAGGCTCCGAAACTACTGAACCGATTTGAAAAATTCTTTAACTGTTTGGAAGCTACACTATCCCTGAGTGACATAGGCTATATTCTTTTTTTTTAATTAGGCGTCCTTACTAAGACTCCAATAATGTAACGCAAAGTGTAAAAAAATTACCTAAAATATTCTTTACATCGCGTGCGCTGCGAAAACTTTTGATGATAGAGTAAACTAATCTATACTAATATTATAAAGAGGAATGATTTGTTTGTATTTTATAATTTTAAATTAACATCATACCTTGACAGCGTAACTAAGGACTCGCGACATATTAGTTCCCACAGATCATCATAGAGAAGATGCTCACAGAACTTTACCTCAATAACACATTATAATATGTTTAAGATGTATGGAATCACGGGATATAAAATTTATCCAAGAAGTAATAAATATTCGAGTTTTAGATTTATTTATATTATATTTTTCGTTTCACGAATATCCATTTCCCTTGAATTGCCGTTTCGAAATTGAATATTTCACATCGTATTTGGCTGCGTGGAACATCAAAGCGATTTTTTTTTTTTGCACACGAAGAGAGAGATTTCGGCGCTCTGCATGCTGGTAATCGTTTATATTATTGTTTATTTTTCTAAAAGCCTTCATTAATACGTTTTCTGTTCGAGAAGAAGAATCCTGTATTTCTTGTGCTTTATATTACTTTAGATTTGCTATTTAAGCACAAAAAATTACGCCTTCAATTAACGTAATTGCGAAAAGATAGTTTATAGGTTTTTATTTTATTTTTATAGGCTAGGCTCTGGACGAGATCAGTACACAGCCGATTTAATTAAGTCGGTACTGATGACCATAGACAATGTCTATGGTCATCAGTACAGTGTCTGACATGTCATGACATAAGTGCATGCCACCACTAGCCTTGTGAGATTAAAGCCGAAATTCCTCACTGGTTTGTAGCAGATTTGACGATGGTATCTATCTGTGCCATAGACATAATTAGAATTACTTTGACACAACGTCAAAAATAATTCCAACATCAAAAAGGTCGCGGTCTCCACTCCAGAACACGTCAACCCCAATGGTTATCGGTTCTGCGACATATGTGACCAGCACACTGTCACTTTAGCTTTTCTCCATTAGGCCATTGAATATATTAGTTATACAGAACCCAATAAAAATATTACGTTGTCCAGAAAGACCAGGCTCACAAACTTCTGATCCATGAAAGACCTCATTAAATAAAATCATCATGATTAATTTAATTGGGATAAATTAAAGAAAGATTTCCGTTGCTTTGTTACAGACTGGAAAACATTTTCATCGGACGTCGCTTCTCATCAAGGCTTTCAACCACAAGTTCAGATTGGACCTCGAGCTTAATACGTAAGTACTTTATTTATAATAGTGTGGCGGGTAGCCATCATACAACGCAAGATATTTGACAGATGCCTGAATCTCGCTTACGACATTTTCAAGATAAGCTTGCATATACATATACAAGTTCCGAACAACAACATTCGTACTGTCAGTTTACCGAGCAAATATTACCCGGTCGGTGGAAGATCTTCCCTTTGTCGTTTAAACTTCCCACTGCTGCTGCCCCACCCTTCAAACCGAAACGCATTACTGCTTCACGGCAGAAATAGGCGGGGCGGTGGTACCTACCCGTGCGGACTCACAAGAGGTCCTACCACCAGTAATTACGCAAATTATAATGTCTGTAGGTGTATAGTAGAATTGACGTCTCGTTTCCAAAACCATCAATCATTTAGTATCAGCTGGATAGCGAGCACGTCTATCTGTCTAGTGTAACCAAAATTTTATGATTTAAGTCGTATTTTCGTTTTATTGGGCTTCGAAAAGCTCTTCTGCGCCAATGAACCTTGAAAAGTCAACGAACTTTAATATTAGAGAAATCTCGTTTGCAAAACTCTTTCACAAAAAAAACCCCTAATCTTCAAATCGACCACAATCGTAGCCTTCGATCAGCCATCTCTCACCAACATCAATGTCACATATATTTGCATCTCACTTAGATTTCTAAGCAAAAGTCAACTATCGCTTTTTACCTTTTTACCTTCATATTAGGGGAAGAATATCTCATATTTTACTAGTGAATCCAGTTATGTTTGAGCTGAACATTTTCGATCAAAAAAATTTCTATCTTTCTATGCAAATTGAAATTAGTCTTTAATATCAACGAGTATAATGGAGAGGTAATTGTAAGCCATTGTACCCAAAGGTGGTCTGAGTAATCAGGATTAAGGTAACTTATATTGTACTGTTTCTAAGGTACTCAATTAAACCGACCGACATAAGAGAGATCTTTAGCAGATTTTTTATTAACCGTACTCAATAACATTTGACGAGCCCCTACCACAATTTTCATTCTCAATGTTCATGGTGTTTGGAAAATGTCGTCGATACTGTGACTGTGTATTGGTCGGGGCGAGCTATCGAGTTCTAGTAGTAACAAAAAAAAACGATTACAAAAAGAGTAGGGCTGTCTGCTTCTAACACCCTAACCGTATCCCTTCAGTCGAGCCGTGACGATGGTGCTTGTAACACGCCGAAATATTCAAATCTCATTAGCGACAAAAATCACGTTAAGAATCCATTAAGTAGCCGCGAATCTTTAAAACGAGTCCAAGTTTTCACTACATAACAACAGACAGCTGAAAGAATAAAACAAAAGATTCCCCTGCTGAAAAATTTACACCTGGTTTTAAAAACATGACAAAAATAAATTTGAGAAAAAACCGCACAATAATTTACGTGAGACGTGCCGCAAAAGGACACGTAATAAACGTCAGAACACATTCGTTACAGCAAAAGTAATCGGGAGTCGTTTCAAAGCCAGCAGTGAGCACTGTAATCAAAAAGCTGAACTCGCGAGCGAACACAAGGGCCGTAAACAATAATGTGAATTTTGAAGGCTCTAGTTCATAATGTTTTTTCATTAGCCCCCAAGAAACACCAGCCAGCCAACCTCAATCTTACCTTCGGAAACGAGGAGTGAAACAGTCAGGATACATTATAATTGTGACTGTGACCTCATGTCTGAAAGTGAGCGCGGGTTCAGTAGTTATAACATTTTTTTTCTTTTTTTTTTAAACAATCACGCCACGTTAACTGGTCCCGTGCTAAGTTCGTAAAGAACTTGTGTTACAGAACTTACAGGTACCAGATAACGGAAATAAATGTAAGATTTTTATTATACATATACATATATTTAATATACATCCATAACCCTTGAAAAGACATTTTATATTTATACCAATATCTTCCCTTGACGGGATTCGAACCCGCGACCCTCCTTTTGTAGTGACCATGTCACTTACCACTACACCAGACGGCCGTTAAGGAACCGAGGTAACTACTTCTACTTAATACCAGGTAAACTCGTTTCTACGTCCAGTCCGATTAGAATAACTAAATTAAGAGCTAGAGATTCTGCAGTAAAAAAAGACTATACTGAACTTTAGGGCATCATTGAAACTGATATACCGCCACGAACAATTAGCGATTTTATTTGACAGCTGACGATGCCCAATCATGATTTCCTATGATTTTCGATCATTTTCCAATCATGATTCAATCATAATTTTTCCGACGACTTATCAACGGGTCGAGAGTTTGGCGTCGTGAAAACAAAAACAATGACCGTGTTTTTCATTGATTACAAAAAAAACGATTGGCTCACAAAGAGCTGATGCGTTGCCGCTACATCCGCTACAAGCCGTTATGTTTGTTTGTGCGATGCCATTAATGAAGTTGTCGCAGAGTGGGCGGCTGGAGCTGGGCGGAAGTGGGCGGGCGGATGGTGTAAGTCAGTAGCGATCCACCGATTGTGTAAAAAATATATGTGTGTATTACTGTTTCGCTCTTAGTACGGGTAGGCTAGTAAATCAATGTGTGATCATGCAATTTTTCAACAGAACGAAAATTTTATATAATGTTAATATGTTAAGTTAAGGATCTCCAACACGATGGACTGACCTCATAAAATCTGTGACTCACTCCAACATAAATGATTGCTCTCACTCTGCGAAACATCGTGCCACATGGCGTCGCATCGCGAGAGCATCGGTATCGCAGGATCCGACTGATGCATGACCACGACCACTCTGTCAAGAGTGTACGAATAGGAAGAATATGTTAAGCTATTATTCAAGTATTTCGGTCGTGTGACTTGTGACAAGTGGCCTCTTTGACCTGCTGTTAAGACCTCCCTACAATCATCCCTACTTTTTTGTTGTTGTTTAAATTCTCCCTCATTTAATTTTACCATGTAACTTAACATAACTAGTAAACGTCCCAAAGATCGGTGCTATGGTCTCCATAATCCCTAGTAATTGCTGGATAGGTTAATAAATGTGACAATGCAATAGACAGTGACAACGTTCCAACAGAATAAGGAATTAACATTATGTTGATATGTTAGGCTATTTATTATTCAAGTTTTATCGGACATGTGGCTTATCATCTGTGTCCTCTTTGAACCGATGTTAAGATCTCTCTACTGTTCTTCTTTAATTTTTTTTGTTGCTTAAATGTTTCCTTATTTCACTTTACCAAGTAACTTGACATAGCTAGTGAATATCTCAAAGATCGGTGCTGTAGTGTCCGTAATCTCTATTAGTCGCGTAATCTCTAATCATGGCTGCAAAAAAGGTGAGAAAACGTTTGGGAGGCCGTAATATGTACGTTTTATTTAGAAAGATTGGTATCCACTCGCAGTGTTTAGGATTTAGATCGTATCACTCGGAAAATGCATTTCAAATCCAACGGATCAAATCAATAAATTTCTCCTGTATTATAGGTGCTAAAAATAGCTTCAAAGTACTTTCGACAACATACATCCACCACGAATATAATCTATACTGATATTATAAAGAGGAAAGATTTGTTTGTTTGTTTGTGTTGAATAGGCTCCGAAACTACTGAACCGATTTAAAAAATTCTTTCACTGTTTGGAAGCTACACTATTGCCGAGTGACATAGGTTATAATTTTTTTTGAAAAAAATTAGGGATCCTTACTAAAACTCCAATAATGTAACCCAAGGTGTAAAAAATTACCTAAAATATTATTTACATCGCGTGCCCTGCGAAAACTATTAATGATAGAATTATTTTATGTATTACGACTTTATACAACACATTATACAGCATATGTCTAACTATTATAGTTATGCCGCAATAAGTGTTCTTTTATTTAATAAAATAAAAAAACGTCAAATATCGTTGAAATTTTTGTTAAAGACCCGAGTGGAGCCGGAGCGGACCGCTAGTTTTTTATAAAGAAATTGACTGACCGGATATCGAGTTTAGACCCCGTGATAGAGTAGTCGAGGTAACTAAGTAAACAATGCGATATATTATTTATTGAATGAATGTCCAGATTTTTACAATATCTTCCTTAATTGCAATAAACATGGATAATACTTAGTTTCTTTATCAAAATCTTTGTATTGCATTTCGTATTCCAATTAACTCTGAAATCTCATAGCTTCCACTGCATACCAACTGTACAGTGACGACGTCAGAAACACAAACCTTGCAATTTAAACCACGAAACTGGAATGAAGGCTCGTTACTGTAACTGAGCCAATGGTCGAAGGCCTGACTGGAACACTGGAAACAGGACATCCGTGCCATTTACTGTTGAACTTCTCGGTGATGAGGTTACGTAAATATGAAAAATTTCGTAACATCAGAAAGAATTCCGACAAATTCTAGTGATACTTCTCTATCGTACTGTTACGCCGGTAAGAGTAGCGCCATCTGTCAACGTATATCAAAAGAACTAGTAAAACCGAGAACGCTCGAGAAGTACAACGCCATCTATTATCAAATATCGGAAACACACATCGAAACTGCTCGACCTGTCACGAATGTTCTCGCTAATTGTAGGGATGCCGTATCGACTATGACAGCGTTGCAGAGATAACATGAAGTTAGTTGGTAATCGGTTCTACACGAAGCGAAACAGCAAACGGATCACCTGAAGCGAAGCGGTAAGAAGTGAAGTGCGAATTGTAAAGTGTTCGTTGAATGTTTTAAGTGTTACATAAATAGAGTACCTTATAATTTGAAATTCGGTGAAAGATTTATTTATTCCGAACTCCAACGTATAGCAATACGTTCAAACTGCCAGTATCCTCTGTAATTTCTCCCAGTATTTCTAGTTTGACGGTAAGGGGGTAGTAGTTTTTTTTGTCTACTAAATGGGTGAATAAGCTCACAAGCCTACTGGTGCTGAATGTTAATCATAGACATCTCCATGTTCATTACAAATCCCCACCCCGAAGCTTCAGATCGAATTCTCATCTCAATTTCATTCTATAAAGACATCTCGCTCTATACACCTACGTCTCATTCG